TACAGGCGAATGATATGTACAACACAATGGAGAGTGAAACTGGAGAGTGAAAAATCTGGTGCAGCTGTCCACAGAAACCAATCAGCTTCCAGGTTTTATTGTCAAAGCACATTTTTCACTGTCCAGTTTAAGTAAATTAACCACAGTGTCTATAGTGCAGGGTTCCGGCGTGCTTAACGCACAGAGTGAAGGGGCAGGAGTGTGTGACACAGAAAATGCAGGGTTCAGGAAAGCATAATGCAGAGAGTTCACAGCTCAGGAACATATAACGCCAAGCACATAGGACTCAGGGATGCATAATGTAGCCATGTGTTCAGGATTGCATATGCAGAGAATGCAGGGTACAGTTGTGCGTAACACAGAAAGTGCTAGGGTCAGGGGTGTGCATCATGCAGAGTGCAGGAGCTAGGTGTGGGTAATGCAGAGGCCACTGTACAGAATACAACCAGAATTACCCGCTTCTCCCAGTACAAATCCCCCCCCCCCCCCCCCCCCCCCCCCCCCCCAGCCCATATTTCCCACAGCAAAACAAGCCCTTTTCCCCAGTAAACCCTTTTCCCCCCCCCCCCCCCATCCATAGCCTAACCTCCAGCACATACCCCCTTCCACAGTACAGACCCTTCTCCCAGCCTAACACTGAGTACAAAACCCCTTTCCTCTACTGTACAGACTCCCTCTCCCCCCAGCTGTACAGACTCCCTCTCCCCCCAGCTGTACAGACTCCCTCCCCCATCCTAACCCCTGTATAGGTTCCCTCCCCCAGTAGAGAGACCCCCCCCCCTCTCAGCCTAACCTTCAGTACAGCCCTGACACCCCCCCAGTTTAACCTCCAGTACAGCCCCCCTCTAGTCTAACCCCCACAACTTGCAGCCTAAGGGCAGCCATATATGGACTGTAATTTGGCAGGTTCAGCAGGGACCAGACGAATGTCAATCCATGTAGGGGCAGGCTGGTTGTACAGATGTTGATTTACTGATTGACCTCTCTACAACCAGCCTGTGGAGTTACTGTATCCGGGCCGCACTGGTCAGTGAATTCTGATGAAGGGCAAGTCCCTCCGCTGTCTGAACACAATAGCTCAGCAGGTATCCGGTGATTTTTTTTTTTTTTTCCTTCAACCTGCTGGCTGAAAAACAAAAATAATGTATGACTAGCTTAACCCCCAGTACACCCCCCCCCCCCCCCATCCCCACAGTTCATTCAATCCACTTGATGCAGTGGCATTTTCGAAGTGAGTGGAGGTCCTCTCTTCACTTGTGTCATATGATTGAACCCAAGGAGGATCCTTCTCTGAACAGTGGCTGTCTGGCGGGGCAAATGGGAGCTGTGGTGCATCTTAGGCACTGCAGCACTGTATAAAAAAAAAAAAAAATTGGTCTGTCACAACACCCCCGGAGTGTCAGAACCCGATAAAGACTGCATCCCCCTTGGTATGCCACTGTACCTAGGAATGCCCGCTCCTCCACTCATCAAGGTATTTTGATATTTGCATAACTACTCCTAAGAGCTGGCCCACTGCTAGCATCAGGGCTGAGGGCTTTGTAGAGGAGTACTGAGACAGGGTGCTGTGATGGTTTCAGGAAGCTATATAAAGCACCCTGCTGCCCCCCTCCCACCAGCCATGATCTGCCTGCATTGCATAGAGAAACACAGAGATATAGTAGTGACATTGCTGGGTTTGAAGTAAGGCATGTAATGAAATATTTAATTATGATGAAAAGGGGGGAAAAAGGAGGAATAGGGAATGAAAAATATAGGCAGATGAAACTCCAGTTTTACCAGTGTCACCTGTGCAAACAGCTTCATATCTCAGGGCTGTCATCGTTAAAGGGCATTAATTATACCCAATGTAATCTATTTCCAATGTACACGGGTCATAGCACATTGACACTCTGTACAGCTGTGGGTGGTAGCTCTATCAAGGGTGACCCCTGCTGTACAATGTGAAAACTACATGCAATAGGAAATGACAAAGGGGCCCATGTATAATGAGTACATTTTTTTCTGCTTATTTGTCTTGATTTTTACCATTGTTCTCCTGAATATAAGACACCAAAGTTGTTATTGCCTTACCTGTAACTTTACTACTTTGCATTATCATTAGAAAATGTATTTTCCTTATGGACTTTGGCCTTAAAAAATAGCTCTGTTGCTGGAATTACTACAGGAACACCTCCAAATTTTTTTGACGTGATAAAGACATACACTGTTCAGCACAAGGTATATGGACAAAAGACCTGCCCCTGTCATATCTTCCTCCAGAACTGAATTGGTTAAACTCACACTCCCCCCCCCCCCCCCCCCCCCCCCCCCCCCCCCCCCCAACTACTTTTCCTTTATATTGGCTTTTTAAAATAGAAAACACAATCACTTAAAGACTGGATAAACTATTTATTTTAGTATCACATTTTTGACAGAGTGGAACTCCAACTTCAAAGGCCATGGGTGGTTATGGTGCTAGAATCCATGTCCACTTTGATATTAGAGGTCTAATACAGCTAAATTGTAGTAAAACTGCTCAAGTGAATTGAAAGCTTTAACCTATGTTATGCTAGCTCTACTTCTTTTTATCTATTTCCCCCCTAAGATAAGAAATGGGTTGTGAATGGGGTGCGAAAAAAGGAGAACAAAGAACAAAACTATTACCACTTAAGCTAGCATACGTTATACAATTTTCTTGTTAAATTTCCTTTAGATTTAGCTTCAACTACATAATGCAAGGGCCTGGCTGACTGCATACAAATTGTTTAGATTTGACTTCCTATTATATGGTAAAGGAAAATTGTACAAGAAGATTGTATAATGCATGGCCAGCCTTGGTGCCAAGAAAGATTTACCATTGAACAATAGGGAAATTGTCAGCACAAAAACCCTTTGTATAGTACAGAGAACTAAGTGGACTGGTATACTCTGCTTTTTTGCCAAAATAATGATGAAAAGAAAACACATTTTGAGGTCACCAAGTGCCCATTGTGCTAAAAGCTGCCCCTAAACCTGTCAAAGATTGCTCCTATTATGTAACTTGTGCATTTGCATCATTCACCAGACATTGAATTATGTGGTGATACATCAGTCCTTTCACCCTCAGAAAGAACATGGAAATAAATTCACACAAACTGAGAAAATCAGAAGATTGTGTGAATTATGTGCTCTAGATGTTATATTTAGAGGTGTTTAAGGAGACAAGCAGCAGATGGCATCTTTCTTGTAAGAGTGGCTGAAAAATGTATGTTAACTCCAAACTTTAAATCTTTCTTCCACCACATAGACAAAATTTCAGGACAACTGTGCCTTTACAGCCAACCTTTGCCATTGGCTTCCAGCAGCACTGCTAAAAGCTCTTAGGACCCCGACTGTCTGTCTAGACCAGGGGTCTTCAAACTGTGGCCCTTGGCTAGCCTTTATCCGGCCCTTGGGGCACTATTCCTCCCAGTGATAAGAGGCACTATTCCTCCCACTGACACCAACAATGGGGGACTATTTCTTCCATTGATACCAATGATAGGGTTCTATTCCTCCCACTGACACCAATGATGGGGCACTACTCTTCCTCCTACTGACCACCAACCCTGAGGCCATGTTTATTCTCACTGATGCTGAGCGTGCGGGATATTTTCTACCCCAATGTCACCAACATAGGGCACCTCCCTAGGGAATTACTCAAATGTGCAACCTATTGCGCTTTCTGGTTAGTGTAATATACATCCATTTAATATCACAGGAATCACGGATTCGCACCTTTAGGAGGTTGCTGTTTGGACTCATGTATTTAGTTTATTTTATCACCTCGAGCACTTTATACGTCATGTAAGGACGTTATTATCACTTTGTGTCTTTTGATGCTCTTTACCGTCCCACAGTGTCGTTTACTTAATATGATATACATTATTATTATTATTATTATTATTACTACGAGTTTATATAGCGCCAAAGGGTTTGCTCAGCGCTGTACAATAGAGGGGGGGACAATACATGGCACAGTACAACAACAACAAACAACGTACGAGGGGTAAGAGGGCCCTACTCTTTCGAGCTTACAATCTAGGTGGGAGGGGGTAAAGGTACAGTAGGAAGTGGCTGAGGGGAATGAGGGGGGTGGGAGGAAAGAGGGAGAATGGCCGTTAAGTGAGGGTGGGGTAGGCTTCCCTGAAGAGATGGGTTTTGAGGGAGCGCCTGAATGTGAAGAGGGAAGGCGACAGTCTGATGGATTGGGGCAGTGAGTTCCAGAGGATGGGGGAGGACCTGGAGAAGTCCTGCAGTCGTGCATGGGAGGAGGAGACCAGGGAGCAGGATAGAAGGAGGTCCTGTGAGGAGCGAAGGGTACGGGTAGGGCGGTACTTGGGGATCAGGTTGGTGAGGTAGTCAGGGGCAGTGTTGTGAACGGCTTTGTAGGTCAGGGTTAGGAGTTTAAATTTGATGCGTTGGGCAATCGGGAGCCAGTGGAGGGAGAGGCAGAGGGGGGTGGCAGAGGTGGGTGGGAAGGTGAGGTGGATGAGTCTAGCCGCTGAGTTCAGAATGGTCTGGAGCGGGGGGAGAGCCTGCACTTGGGTAGGCCGGTGAGAATTTAGCATACATTATTGGTTAGCACTTTTACCTGGCAGTACTAGGGTCGTTGGTCCGAATCCCAATCACGGCACCACCTGCCTGGAGTTTGCATTTTCTCCCTGTGCCTGCGTGGGTTTCCTCCCACACTCCAAAGACATGCTGGTAGGTGAATTGGCTCCTGTCTAAATTGGCCCTACTATGTGTATATATGGATGTAAGTTAGGGATCTTATGTTGTACGCCCCTTGAGAGCTAGGGACTGATGTGAATGTAAAATATATATGTAAAGTGCTGCGTAAATTGACAGCACTATATAAGTACCTGTAATAAATATGCAATTATAAGTTTTATTACTTAATAGATTTCAGCCATATTTACCTAATAATCCCCAAACCATTAAAATAGCACTAATACAGCACACTAAACACAAAACCAATAAGTTGGTTAATTCACAGTTCAGATCCTGCAGCCTCTCTTACCTGTACTTCTGTCCAAAATCGGATTCTGGTTGCTATAGTTTTTCTCTGCTGAGGGTTCCTTGTTGCCTGCTGGTTTCCAGCGTGAGTCAGATGCGGGGCTGTCTGCAGGGGCTGCTGTTCCACCAGGCAGAACGTTTTTCTCAAAATAGCCAGGATTGGTGATGTTCCCCGCTGGGCTGTACTGGGCCACCAAAAAGTAGAGCCGTTTGCCATCTGTGGCCACCCCATAGCCAACCTCCTTTGAGTCTTTCCACACAATCTGGGTGAAGTGCCCTAAAGGAAGACACATTTATTGTATTATCAGACAAAATAAAAACTATTTTTTTGCACTGAAAAATGTTGGGTGGCTGAGTACACAAACCTAACTTGCAACATCTAAAACGTCAGTATAATCACATGAATGAATAGCAAAGGTATAGTAGAAATAGTAATGTTTTTCTACTAACAAAAAGCGCACTTCCTTTACTTACGCTGCCTTGGAGGAATGCTAAACTCAAAATGAACAAATTGTATGTTGGACCATTGCATAGATTATCACTTCTGATTTTTGAGGGATTCACTTTTCTCTAGTCTACAGCCTAGAATAATAGGATTTTTGACTTACCTGTAAAATTTCTTTCTTGAAGCACATTACAAGACATGCTCTTAAATACTTAAGGTTCACACTATAGCAGTTTTACTGCTACAGGGTGGCCATCCTGTGCAAAATCACGTACGTGTATGGGAATTTGCACTTCCACCATGGGGGGGCATAATCGCACCGCCAGCTGATAGCTTCTGCTGTGGACACTAACAGCAGAAGCCGATCTGTGAGTGCCGGTGAACGGATGTCCACCAACACCTGCCTATCTGGCAGGACACAGAACAGAGCTCTGTCCATGTAAACAAGGCAGAGCTCTGTTCAGACAGGGAGGGAGAGAAGGATTGTGTGTCTCTGCAAAGCTGGTAACACAATCCTTCACTTCCCCTAGTAAAAGCACCACCTAGTGTACACCAAGCACATAGTTAACCCTTTGATCACCTAGATGTTTAACTCCTTCCCAGCCAGTGTCAATAGTACAGTGGCAGTGTATATTTTTAGCACTGACCACTGTATTAGTATCATTGGTTCCCGCAAAGTGTCACTTAGTGTAAAAATGTCCACTGCAATATCGTAGTCCCGCTATAAGTAACTGATCGCTGCCTTTACTAGTATTAAAAAAAATATATTTAAAAAATTCCAGTACATGTCCTATAGTTTGTAGACGCTATAACTTTTGTGCGAACAATCAATATACACTTATTGGGGGAATTTGTTTACCAAAAATATATAGCAGAATACATTTTGGCCTACATTTATTAAATTAGAATTTTAAAATTTTTTAATTAGATATGTTCTATAGCAGAAAATAAAAATGATGTTTTTTTTTTTTCTAAATTGTAAGTCTTTTTTTGTTTATAATGCAAAAAGTAAACAAAAAAAAACACAGAGGTGATCAAATACCACCAAAAGAACGCTGTATTTGTGGGGAATAAATTATATAAATTGTATTTATGTACAGCATTGCATGACCTGCGCAATTGTCAGTTAAAGTAAAGCAGTGCCATATTGCAAAAAAATGGCCTGGTCAGGAAGGGGGCTAAATCTTCCAGAGGTCAAATGTAACTAAAGGCAAAAAAATATTTTTTTTGGATAAAGTGCAAAAGGATAAAAACACCTGTCAGTTTTTATTGCTGTCTGTGTCCCCGTTAGGGTGATTCATCCTCTCTATTTGTCCTGTTTATCATTGTCATTGAAAGGGAAAGTAAATGAAAATACCAACTTTTGGGTTGTCTCCAGAAAAGTAATAGAGGGAAATCTTCCAATGGGGTGGTGACCTGGCGGGCCCCAAGGAATTCCGTTAATTTGCAAGGATTTCTTCTCACTTCTTTTTTGGCTATGGGACAGGAAGTGATGGGAAATCTTTGAAACGGGACACAGATGGCAAAGAAAAATCTGACCGAGGTTATAACCCTCCCTTACTCTATCCTAAGTGACAACAAAAGCTTTTGCCTATAGTTCTACTCTACATGGATCCAAATTCAGCCAGTTCAGCAAAGACTGGTTGAATTTCAATCAATGTGTGGCCACTTCAGTTTGAGAGAAGTCAATCTAAAGAGCGGCTTTTGTTCAACTGCTTTGTTGGATAAAAGCCGTTTGATCAGCGCTGCAGGCAATAGGCTGCAGTGCTGATTGGTGTGTTCTGACAGCAGGGGATTCTCTGTTGTCAGAATACAAAAATGCAGCAGGGAATTTGTTCAGTTTTTTTTCGTTCATTCTGCTGAATTAACAAAAAGAAAAGAAAAAAACACAACATGTATGGTCACTAAACTAACCATTAAACATAGATTGGGTCATGCAGCTACCCTCAGGTGATTGGACACTGGCAAACAAAGCTGAAAGGCCAGCCCCGGTATAATCCTTCCCATTCCCAGCAAATTTCAGTTCAGCAGCAAGCAATAAAGAGTGGATCATTATAAAAGAAATGAAGGACCTGTCCTGTAATGTACTCCAATAAATTCATTGAACAGGTACTGCCATATTCTTATCCATACCTTACAGGACAGAGGATTTTCATCCTACATAACTGGGATGCCCAAAAGCAATGCAACACAGCGATAACAAATGTCCATAAAAATGAACAGGCAAACAGAGAGCAACCTGAAGCACGTTGCACCCAAAACTGGCATCAGACGAGGCCTGAACATCCACCTTGTAAAATAAAAACACACGTGTGAATAGAAGACTAGATGGCAGCCTTGTAAATCTGGGAAACCTATGTCTGATGCTTTAAAGCAGTCTGTGCAGCGGGCTGGAGATTGGAAATCTCCGCTCTTCTCCTTCTTCTCTGTGCAGTGCTTATGGGACAGATCAAAGTGATGCTTAGTGCCAGTGCTGACCAATCAGAATCAGTTTGATCCATCCTGGAAGCACTGCACATGGAAGAGGGAGAAGAACAGGGATTTTAAATCACTGGACCACTGCATAGGTACTGACAGCTCAGTGTCCACAGAGGTAAGTGCAGCGGAGATGGGGGATTTGTATGGTATTAGTTCACCTTTTATTTTTTTTCTGAAAACGTGAACTTACACTTTAATGTTTTCATTTATTAACAGTTTGATTTTCAACCACTAGATGCTGCTGTTGTACAAAAAATATTTGCATTCAGTTCAATGGGGAAATGTATTTATTATTTATTTCAGGTACTTATATAGTGCTGTCAACTTATGCAGCGCTTTACATATATTGTACATTCACATCAGTCCCTAACCCTCAAGGGGTGTACAATCTAAGGTCCCTAACTTACATTCATACATAAACTTACTAGGGCTAATTTAGACAGGAGCCAATTAACCTACCAGCATGTCTTTGGAGTGTGGGAGGAAACCAGAGTACCCAGAGGAAACCCACGCAGGCACAGAGAGAACATGCAAACTCCAGGCAGGTGGTTCCATGGCTGACATTCAAACCAACAACCCTAGTGCTGTCAGGTAGAAGTGCTAACCATTTAGCCACTGTGCTGGCCACAAGAGCTGATTTACCTTTTACTGATCTATCGCGGTGCATTAGTGCATGTTAATTTGCACATTAACATGTGTTGTGTTAAGGCAGCTTAATTAATATGAATTAGCTGCCTATCACCACGACAAATGAAAAAAATGCACATGACCCTTTTTTAACAAAGACGCGCACCATAAAGGGCAGCATGTGTATTGTGGTGTGCTATGGTGCATTGTAGTCTGCTTACTGTACAGTGTGTTGAGCTACTGTTAACAATGAATGCCTCCACAACGCATCATACATACCGCAGGTGTGTTGCGGGAACATGCGTATATTACCATACACTGTAGTAAACCACAAAATGAGAATAGGCCCTCATGCAGGTGCCCCTGTGCTGTACAAATTATGAACAGAACAGTTCCTTCATTCTTTTCTTCTTCCCCCTCTCTCTCCTTCCTTTCTCCACTCCTTTCTTCCTTGCTTCTTTACCTTTCTCCCTCCTCATCTCTCTATATTCCTCTCCTTCCATTCCCACCACCTTCTTCTTTAATGCTTACATTGGCAATCATGCTCTGAATTCTTTTTACCTGTATTACTGGAAAAGCCAGGTCTGCTGAAGTTGTAGTTCTCGATCTCTTTGTACCAGCTGTCCACTGGTTCATTACCTAAATATAATAAAAGACAATGTAGAATTAGAGTAATGTGGAGTCTGTTTCCCGACAAACCTACTGCAACAAACCATGATGTTTTTCTTGCTTTTGATGGGAGTGGAATGGTTAGATCCTATGTCAGCTTTTTATTTCTGTCTGTGTCTCAAATGGGGATTTTCCCTCACTTCCTGTCTTGGTGACTACATAGAAAGTGAGGGGAATGTCCCCATCAGAAGTGTGGACAGCAGTAATAATATAATGAGGATGCAGACATTACCCACTCTGCTAAAAGGGGTTTTTCTTGTTGTTTGTGACCCAGTATGGGAAGTTTCCTGTCTCTGGGACAGGGCACGAGTGAAAATATTCGTGTACCGATCCATCCCGACCAGGGGTGGACTGACCATTAGAGCACTCGGGCACTGCCCGAGGGCCCAGGGTCAGTAGGGGGCCCCATGAAATGCCCCTGGTACTTTTTTTATAGGGTTTTTTGGGTGTGCTTTGAGTGTAGTCAGACACAGGGGCCCCATGATCCCCAATTGCCCGGGAGGCCCTATGAGCTGTCAGTCCTCCCCTGATCCCGACTATCTGATGTATTTATTATGACTTTTTGATTATTTGCTACTATTTATGACTGTTTCTACATTATGATTTTATGTATTCTTTACTAATACTAATATTATTACTACATCTTTTAACGACAACTCCACAGAGAGTTCTATCCTGGTATATCTATGCCATTCATGTATATTTCTTAGGAGTTACATATTTTAGATATATTTTTTGTGAGTTTTTATTTCATATTCTGCTTTCCTGAATTCATGTATATTTCCTATGAGATATGTATATACATTATGATTTTTTTTATGTCATATTCCATATTCCACATTTCTGTATTCATGTATATTTCTTATGATATACTTTGCATATATATATATATATATATATATATATATATATATATATATATATTATTTTTTTTTTTTAGAAGGTATTTGTTATATTCTGCTTTTTTGCACTTTAGCCTTGATGAAGAGGAAGGCATTTCTCTCGAAACGCGTTGGTTTAATGGAATACCTTTTTCAATAAACTCTTCGACTTGTCCTTTTTATGTCAAGAACTTTTGCCCTGGATGCTCTTCAACACCTTTCCCAGAGTTTTGCTATCCACTGAGTGTTCTAGAGACCATCAGATGTGCGGCAGCTTAAGACCAGAACAAGGTCCATCTATATGGTACATTTGATGCACATCAACCCTGTGAAGGAGGACTGAATTCTATGATATATCCAATAATATGAATACCTCACTCCTATTAGTCCAGCGCTGTATGGTGACACAGACAGCTGTATGGTGACACAGACAGCTTTAAAAAACCTTTTTAGTAGGGAAAAATAAAAAAATATCTATGGTCCTGCTGATACTATGTATACAGTGTACATTACACACCTCAATAGCTATCTTAACCAATGTGCATTATAAGCTATTCACTTGATAAGGTCCTTGTTTCATACTAATATATTTCTTAGATATTTTAAATGAATATATGAAGATGTCCATCACACGTCATCATATAAAAGCTCTTGTTCATAAAAAGGACGCTCCATATGGAATATTTTATTGAATGTCAGTTTACATCAACACCTAGGATGCAAACATTTTCCGGCACTTTGAAAGGTTCTACTGCATTCATCAGATATAAATCCTGAGCCAACCAGTCAGCTGGATTAAATTAAATGTCATAATAGAGACAATGTAGCATAATAGAGGCAATTTTCCATATTTTCTATATATGAAAGTCACGTGAGCTTCTTTTCTGGTAGGGTCCTGCTTATTATCTTCCAGTTTCTTTTTTTGTGTTTTTTTTTTATATATTGATGTAATTGCCATTAATTGATTATAAATTGATATTGAGATATGCTGTCATTCTCATCCACTGGCTTCACCACTTTTTGTTTTACTAAAGGCAAATAGACTGTGCACTCTGCAAGTGCAGTTGCATTCTGCAGGGGAATTTGCTTCGGAGCTTAGTAAATGAGGTGAAGCTTCACTTTGCAAAGAATGCCTAATCACATGCATGGAAAATAAACTGTATTTTGCTTGCATATGAATGGATGATGCAAGTCGGCAAAGTTTCCTTACATTTACTAAGCTCTGGAGCAAATTCCCTTGCAGAGCGCAACTAAATTTGCAAAGTGCACAGTCTATTTGCCTTTAGTAAACCCACTCCACTGAAACAAGTTAGCAGTTCTGATGTCACTCTGATTTTCTAATCTGCATGCTTGTTCCAGGTCTGTGAGTCACAAAATATTGAACATGGAGGCAGCCAGGCAGACAGCATTTTGACAGTGAGATCATTAATGGCAGCCCAGCATTGTCCTTAGTGTAGGGATCCTCTAATGCTGCCCATTAATCATGGCATGTGATGCTCCAACCTGTGTCATGTGGAGATGGGTTGTGTGCAGGGGCAGACTGACAACTCATGGGGCCCCCAGGCAATAGGAAATTATGGAGCCCCTGTGTCCTCGCCAACACTCAAACCACACCCAAAAAAGCCTGTGAAAGGTATCAAGGGCATCTCATGGGGCCCCCTACTGACCCTGGGCCCTTGGGCAGTTCCCGAGTGCTCAAATAGTCACTCCGCCCCTGATCGTGTGTAACGAGTAACCCTTAGTTGTATTGCATGTGCAGTCCGATGGAAAGCTGTGCATCACTGAAGACGTACCTGGCAGATCTCGGGCATTAGAGGAGCTCTTGTAGTATAAATTTTCTCCCAGATCTGTGTTGCTGTGCTGAAGGGTTCTGATGGACAGTAGGTGGTCAGCCCATTTCTGGGCTGACTTGCACAGGTCCCGGCTCAGCTGGAGAGGTGGTGATCCATGCAGCTTCCGATATTTATTGTGGGCTGACAGGAAATCTTCTTCAAACTGTTTTGAGTCAATTCCTAAGAAGAACGCGACATGAAAAATCAATTTACTTACCCTTTACTTATTATTCTACAGCATTTATATAGCGCCAACAGTTTGCTCACGGATTTATTTAAAAGTTGAACCTTTCATAAGAGAAATGTGTGGGCTTCCATAGTTGTTATCCTGAAAATGCTTGTTGCCTGGCTGTTATGTTGAACCTCTGGTCTCAATACTTTCTCACTGGCTGGAACAAGTACGCAGATCAGGAAAATCAAAGTAAAACCCAAAGGCCTAATCTGAACATGTGTTACTGGCAGCACAGTGGCTAAATGGTTAGGACTTCCACCTGGCAGTACTAGGGTCGTTGGTTTGAATCCCAACTATGGCACCGCCTGCCTGGAGTTTGCATGTTCTCCCTGTCGTGGGTTTCCTCCGGGTACTCTGGTTTCCTCCAAAGACATGCTGGTAGGTTAACTGGGTCCTGTCTAAATTGGCCCTAGTATGTGTATGAATGTAAGTTAGGGACCTTAGATTGTACACCCCTTGAGGGTTAGGGACTGATGCAAATGTACAATAAATATGTATATATATGTGAATTGCTGCGTAAATTGACAGCGCTATATATGTACCTGAAATAAATACAGTGTGTTTTGGGTCAGTGGCTCAAGGTATTATTTATTTTAGTTACTTATATAGCTCCGTCAATTTATGCAGCGATTTACATATATATTGTACAGTCACATCAGTCCCTAACCATCAAGGGGCGTACAGTCTAAGGTATAAAGAAACAGGGGTCATATGACAGCCAGGCAACAAGCATTTGCAGAAAAAAATTTATTTCAATCTACACCTTGCTGAGTCCTTCTGGCCCCGCTCACTTTTCTGGATTTTTACACAGTGATTGCTGTACACACAGAAGCTCCTTTACAGCTCCATAGAGACACACTGACCTGCTGATCACTGCAGGACATAAGCCAGGCACACACAGATCAAACCTTGTGCAGTTCACCAGGAATCAGCCACATTTCATTCTGGGTGTACCCCTCTCTGTTCAACAGAAGCCAATTGTTAGACCAGCTTCTGTCAAACGGTCCTGCTGGAAAGCCAGCATTTGATCAGCTGCTACAGCCAATGGCTGCAGCACTGATCAGTGTACTCTGACAGGGGGGGAGTCCCCATTATCAGAACACAAATGCAGTGAAGGGAAGATCCCTGCACCCACATCACTTGTGTGAATGCAGGGATCTGAGGGTTTTTGTTCGGTTGAACACAGACAAAGCTCACAGTGTGTACCCAGCTATGCACATATATAACTATACAGTGCTGCTCACAATGACTTCAGGAGAGAAATGGTGTTTGATGACAGCTTTGTGCATTAAATAGCAATTCCAGGCAACATTTGGAAGCAGTCAGTGAGCTTCTGTCCAGCAAAAGCTGTTTCCATGTTAAAATCAGAAACTGCAGATCAGTGGTTCTGCTTCCCGATTTGGTGCCAATTTCTCCTCTTTCTGCTTGCTGTAATTCAGATTCAAACTTCCAAGGCAGGAAATCTGGTTAGTGGCTGCAAAGAACTTCAAAGTCATGAGATTACTGTATATCTGATAAGGGGCAGTGAGGAACCCACAATGGGTATGCCTGGGATTTAATCTGCTACATTAGGATCAGAGTTTCCCAGATCACCAGATTACTGACCAAAGGAATGCCTGGATAAAAAACTGAAGTTCTGAGCGAGTTTGTCCGCATTTCTTGCAGGCATAATTTTTTTTATTAACTGGAGTGTGCCAATAAATCCCCCCCATCCCCAGCCTAAGGGTGCATTCACACGTGCGACTCCACCCTGCCTGTGATTACATGTGAGAACCCCAATGGGGGTATCCACGACTAGCTGCAAGTAGGCAGCCCCATTGAAAGCAATGGGAGGCTTCTGGCACTTGCAGCTAATAACAGGCAGTCACGTGATCACAGCATGAGAGATTATATGTGAGTGGGTGCGATTAGCTGGAAGAACCGGCAACCTCCCATTGCTTTCAATGGGGCTGCCTACTAACAGCTAATCATGGATTCATGTAATCTCATGCAAGGTGCTTCCTTTGCAAGCTCACCCTCTCCAGCAACACCACTATGGTATGTGCACAGATGTGCCGCCCTACAGGTCCTGGCAAAGCTCTTTGGCACATCTGCAAACGCACAAATAAAGCAAAGGTTCAAGCTCTTTATAATAGCCATTGTTGCACATGCACAAAGAAAAGCTTGCATGTGCTGGGGAAACCCGGGCATGAGCAGATGTGCTGTAGGGCTCAGCAGAACCTGAAGCCCTGCAGTACATTTGAGCATGTGCAGAATCCAAGAAGTGGGGTGGAGCAGTGCAACAGAATTTGGGGTTTGGGGGCGGTGGAATTGCAATTTTTCATTCAGGCCAGCAGAATGAATGAAAAAAAAACAAAAAAAAAAAAAACAGACCCAATCCCCCCCATCCACACATATTCGTGGTGGATGGGGGAGACACTCCTGCTGGGCTATTGTGTTCTGACTGCTGGGAGATTTCCCTGCCATCACAATACACTAATCAGAGCTGTCAGCAGTGATGATCAAACTGCATTTATCCTACAGGCTCGTTGTACATTAGTCCCCATCAGGGGCTGACTGACCATTTGGAAACTCGGGCACTGCCCAAGGGCCCGGGGTCAGTAGGGGGCCCCATGAGATGCCCTGGTACCTTTTTCATAGGCTTTTTTGAGTTTGGGCAAGGACACAGGGGCCCCATGATCCCCTATTGCCCGGGGGCCCCATGAGTTGTCAGTCCGCCCCTGGTCCCCATACATAAATTGAAATTCGTCTAAATCAGCCAAATTTTGCTCAATGCATGGCCGACTTTTGGTTAGGATGAAGGTCTGTTTCAAGCTGTTTTTAGTATCCAATGTACAAACTTGCTCCAAGTTTGCCTAGAAACATGTATTTAATTATTTGTAGGCATGCTGTAAGAATGAGAACTCATAACAGACATATAGAGGAGGGTTCTCAAATTTGCCTGCAAAGGTGGGAATACTCTTCAATAATATGGTATAAAAAAAAAGTCTTCCTTTCCCCAGTTTATTTGTGCTAGAAAATGTCTGCCTGATAACATTGTCTCTTCCAATACATTTGAATGCCTACAGTATGTTTAAACTACTCTATTATCTATGTATCTATCGATTTATAGGTCTAGCTGACTCATGCACTTGCAATGTGGGAAGGAGTAGTAAAGCACAACCTTTATGTAGCACTCCGCACTCCCATTCATATGTTCATATAATAAATAAAAATGTAAAATACTATACATTCCTTTTAAATGTCAAATAAAAACATTATTTGATCAGTCTTTATACCTTGCTCTTGTAGGCGCAGTCCAGCAAACCTCTGGTTGAATGCCATGATGACCAATTTGCTGTCAGATAACTTTGCACTGTAAAGAAAGAATATTGTTTTAAAACCAGAAACCTTTGAAACCACTACTATATAAACCCTGACTGATATACATGCTGACAGGCCAAGGGAAGAGTTGCATGGCACCAGCGATCTGCTCATTGCTGGTGCAATGCTTTAGAGGCTCCATAAACAAAAAATAATAAATGCACATTTTTTTTTTACCTGCAAAAAAACGTGCATTTATTATTTTTGTTTAAAGGTGCACTTATCCTTTAAAGTGTTACTATACCCATGACCCTGCATCCACTATATCTGGTCTCCCACAGTACACACAACATGGAAATCAATTATTTTAGTAAATATAAACTGCTAAATACCTTTTCTCATCAGCAGTATATAGCAGTATTGTGGCTTCTTTCTGTGTCCAGCCGAGCACTAGCTAAAGCTTGTAGGAGGAGTCTTCTTTCTGCTCTAGGAGTATGCAAAACCCCTGACCTGTCTGGACAGTGCCGATTTGGTCCTGTGCTGATCACATGCAGTCTCCCAAGAAAAAAAACACTCTAGCAATACACACCAAACTGAGCATATGCAAAATGCCTACAGTTCAGTCTGTCTTATCAGGAGATAAGAGGTGGTCCCTTGAAAAAAGGGAGGAACAGAGAAGACAGGATCAAACTGCCTTTTTACACAATGCAGAGGATTGATCCCTTAGGTTCCACAGGTAGTATAACAAGCATTCTTTACTGCATATACAGGCTGATTTTACTGTTGTTGTGGGTTTAGTAACACTTTAATGATTGGGTTTACATATAGAGTTCTTTACGTTGAAAACTGGTTCTCTCCTAAGAGATGTTTTTTATTGTTTACAGTGTTGATGTCTTCATAATGATGCTCTGTGGTTTTAACTTCTGCCTCTTCTAACCACAGCATGAGTCACAAACTGGTTAAAAGGTAAAACGTTTACAGCCAAAGAAAGAAGTAGGTTAAGCAGTAGCTGCAGGCTTTTATAGGGAGTAATTACCTGATGTGATCCCATCCCTCTCATAACTGCAGGGCTCCCTTTTCCCACAGACTACAGGGCCTCTTTATTAAAGTACAACATACATATATCTCCCTCTATTCTCAAGGAATTCTGTTCTAACAAATATATGTTGGGTGCCATTGCTGGTCTCTGCTTTTCAAAATGCTGATTTCTGATTAAATAGCTTTTCAGAAGAAGGTCAGCAATGGTAGTCCTCATATTTCTTTCGATATAAGTTAAACATATGTGCCTGAATTTCTACTGGAAAGGGAGGTTGGTGCCGAATTATCAGTGCAACCTCAAAAAACAGTGTTGCCTTGGTCACACACTCATGTAGATGGCACCATAACACTAAATTCTATTAATATATGGGCATATGTGAAAATATACAGCCAACATGAATGCAATCATGGCAATACAGGGGTACAAGACTGGCAATTGCGACAATATGTAGGCAATAAATCTGAGCAACATACTGGCAATTATGACATATGTGGGCAGTATATGGGCAATGGTGGCAATAAATGCAACAAACAGGCAATGATGACACTTCTTGGACAAAAAAACCCTAAAAATAGTGTTAGTACAGAGGCAACATATG